CAGGTTCTTAAAGATAGCACTGTCTCAAAAGATGTTCTGAAGTTGCGAGGAAAAGCGTTGAAAAAGCTTGGAACGATATTCCAAGTAAGTGTATTTTAGTCTACATCATGTTGAATAGTTAGCAAGGATATATAGGAGGTCTACAAACTTTCAGTTGTTCATATTTTATTAGCGAATTTGTTTGCTTCATCTAGCATGCTGAACAGTTAATGAGGAAGACATAGGGTGCATCATAGCAGACAAACCGAGTGAATGAGCTCAATGTGTTGACCCTTGGTTACTTTTGTACATGTACTATAGTGGGTTCTATCAAGATTTACATTTGATTCTTGAATCATGACATTTGAAATTCAGAGTGGAAACTATTGTCTAGTACATGGAAATGGATCTCATAGTTTTTTGCTTTTGTAATAACCCTCTCAAATATCAACCAATGCTTGGAAGTATGCTTTGTGGGATAGTCATGATTTGCTTTATTTACCATTCTAGTATATTTTGTGGTTTAGGGAATCATCATAGAGTCACCAACTTTTCATAGGCATGATTTTGACCGTTCCCAGTATCCTAATCAAACATGAAAAAAATATGACGAACAACCTTTCCTCACCAGACAACAATGATACGAGTAGCCATAAAAAATTACAACACAATTCAGCGATTTAGTTCAAGTACCAAACTTCATAGAAGAATCGCCTTCTACCTTTAGTTTCCCCCCTCCCTGCAGACTTCCTATATTCTTCTTCTAGGCATGGATCCAATCCAATACTTGAAAAATACACCCTCTGTTCCTAAATGTAAGACGTTTTGGCAGATCATTTTAAACTGCCAAAACGTCTTATATTTAAAAACAGAGGTAGTAGCAGACAACATGACGAGCTACTTGGTATTCATAACTCTTGCTTGTAAAACCAGGGCGCGGAATCTCTGTACCATCGTGAGAACAGCCTACGTGTGGAGTCTCCGATGAAAGAGGATGGAACGACATCGTCGCACTGAAGACTGATAACATTTTTAACAATTTGTGAATTATTCGGATCTCTGTGCATTATTGTCTGCTTGTATTATTTTGACACAGCAGGTTTGCTCTGGACGCACCCTGTATGTATGGGTTTCCTTGTTTTCTGTAAAAAGGGTGAATGCTGAGACACGAAGCATCTCTGTTATTGACCCGGCATTCTTTCTTGTGGGCTGTTGCTTAGCCAGTGTATCACATTAACATTTCCTTTTTCCTTTTTGAGAGGATTGCTCCACTCTCAGCTAGACTTTTGCTTGTATTGGCCCATAGGTGATCTGTTGGATGGCTCTTATACTCAACCTATTTTGTTACAATCAATCCAGAAAGAAAGGCAGTAGTAGAAGGTTCAGACAACGTACCAGATTTTTACAGCTTTAGAAGCACTAAGAGGAGATAAAGTATGGTAGTGCCGGTTGGGTTACTTGTGTGTCGTAGCATCTTGATGTGGTTTAGTGCCAGGGATGTAAAAAGTGTACTGCACCTTGCTTGTAAAAGACTCCATTTTCTTAATGAAAATGGGGGCCATGTGGCCTCTCTCATCGAAAAAAAAAGCACTAAGAGGAGATACAATGTGATTTTCAGAAGTAAAAGTGAGCAACAGGTTCCAAACAGCACTTGCACAAGCCTGCGACGATGCAATTTGGCATCACACTCTGCTTTGGCACTGAAGATTCTACCTTACCCAAACACATCCTCACAAGCGTTTTTGTTTCTTGGGCGATCAGGACCTGCCCAGAGCAGTAGTAAAAAGCACGGCTGGTTTTGTGGAATCTCTACGATCAAGTCTCATAGTGAGGTATGTTGCCACCACAGGCCAGGGCAGTGGCAGAGATGTACCAGCTGGGAGGTGCCGTACTTACGCTTACGCAACACCAAACATGAGTACACAAAGTTGTACGCGTGAGAGGGATTTTTCATACGAAGAAGGCAGTGGCCGAGGATAGGCTGAACCTTTTGGTGTAGCAAAACCAAAATCAGCAACTTGAGGAGCTACTAAGGGCATCTCCATGCGGACCGTAAACCTTTTGCAACTGCCTGGACTGCGAAAGCCATCTAACATGGTCCTGTATTGGTTCGTGGGATGGTCCAGACATGATTTCTCTCACAAACCGGAGACAAACATGTAGGAGGTTTGTGGGAGTCCGGACTGATCCCAAACCTGCTCCTGACCGTCCTGGCCCACCAAAAACCCGTCATCCGTCCCTCCCGTGCTTTTCTTCCGATGCACGCACCGCTTACCGCGCTGTATTCATGCCGGCCCAGAGCACGCGGAGGCCGACGTTGATGCCGCGATGTGACTGGGGAGGGATGGAGGGCGGCGATAATCGATGCGACCTCTCGACCGCTTCAATGTGCACGCAGATTCCAGAGGAACCAATTCCGGTCGCTGCGCCGCATTGAAGCGACTGACCGGCCCTTCTCCTTGGCCTCGCCACGGCTATTTAAACCGTGCGCCGAAGTTGCACAGAGATGCACCATCCCCCTCCTCGAGCACCGGCTCCCTCCCTCTCCCTCTCCTGTCTCCGTGCCCGAGCCCCTCCCTCCCACTCTTCGACCCAGCCACATAAAGGAGGAACCTGCGTCCCTGCCACGCAGCCGGTACAATCTCAACGACGCGTCGTTGTCACCGCCGTGCAGCCATCGCCTTGTCGTCAAGGAGGAGCTGAAAGAAATATGCCCTAGAGGCAATAATAAAGTTGTTACTTTATATTTCCTTATATCATGATAAATGTTTATTATTCATGCTAGGATTGTATTAACCGGAAACTTGATACATGTGTGGATACATAGACAAAACACCGTGTCCCTAGTAAGCCTCTACTAGACTAGCTCGTTAATCAAAGATGGTTAAGTTTCCTAACCATAGACATGTGTTGTCATTTGATAAACGGGATCACATCATTAGAAGAATGATGTGATGGACAAGACCCATCTGTTAGCTTAGCATTTTATGATCGTTCAGTTTTATTGCTATTGCTTCTTCACGACTTATACATATTCCTTTTGACTAAGAGATTATACAACTCTCGGATACCGGAGGAATACCTTGTGTGCTATCAAACGTCACAACATAACTATGTGATTATAAAGATGCTCTACAGGTATCTCCGAAGGTGTTTGTTGGGTTGTCATAGATCGAGATTAGGATTTGTCACTCCGAGTATCGGAGAGGTACTCTGGGCCCTCTCGGTAATGCACATCATGATAAGCCTTGCAAGCAATGTGACTAATGAGTTAGTTGCGGGATGATGCATTATGGAACGAGTAAAGAGACTTGCCGGTAACGAGATTGAACTAGGTATGAAGATACCGACGATTGAATCTCGGGCAAGTAACATAGCGATGACAAAGGGAATAACGTATGTTGTCATTACGGTTTGACCGATAAAGATCTTCATAGAATATGTAGGAACAAATATGAGCATCCAGGTTCCGCTATTGGTTATTGATCGGAGAGGTGTCTTGGTCATGTCTACATAGTTCTCGAACCCGTAGGGTCCGCACGCTTAAACGTTCGATGGCGATTTTGTATTATACGAGTTATGTGATTTGGTGTCCGAATGTTGTTTGAAGTCCCGTATGAGAAAACGGACATGACGAGGAGTCTCGAAATGGTCGAGAGGTAAAGATTGATATATTGCACGATAGTATTCGGACACCAGAACGGTTCCGGATTATTTTGGGTATTTTTCGGAGTACCGGGAGGTTACCGGACCCCCCCCCCCTGCGGAAAGATGGGCCACTATGGGCCATAGGGGAGAGAGGAGGCAGCCCACAAGGGGTGGCCACGCGCACCTCCCATGGGAGTCCGAATTGGACTAGGGGAGGGGCGCCCCCCTTTC